ATTCGCTTTTCGTCCTCTTGATTTCGTAAACAACACCCCCGTCACGAGAAGGCAGTGAGTAGGACTTCCCTGACAAAGGCTGTATACGCGTGGCCATGTGAGAGCATTTGGAGAGGGAGAGCGGACTCTCCCCACTCTCGGCCGTACCAGGGCATTTGGGGGTCTAGTTGGTTAAGAGCTTGGCACGAGATTGATAGGTCTCGGGTTCGGTTCTCGCGGTTGGCGGGATAGTGGATGCGCACTGTTGAGGGGTCCCATACTAAGATGAACCGGCCGTCCAGTGCTTCTAGGTCTTCCATGAAGGTCTAGCTTCAATTGACTCATGATTTCAATCTGTGATATTATTATTATTATTGGCATATGTGCATACTGTGCGTATTGCATCGATATGCCCTTAATTCACAAGTATTATATGCAAAGATGGATAGTGACTATTAGTGGAATCCAGTTTGATGCACGTTTCATCCTATTTGCAACCCGTCAGCTGAATGTGCCTGCATCTCAGAGTTGATGTTTACTACGGGAAGGACTCGACCTCAGTACCGTTCGCTTCAAACGCCATTGCATTATCTACTTAACTACTGAGTTGTGATAGCCACATGCTTGTACAATGGAGTGAAGTTTATATTCACTTGATGTTGTTTACTTGAATCTTCCAATCGATGTTTAGGACTGAAATTGATCAGTCTGTTATTATTATTAGCATAGGTGCATACTGTTCGTATTGCTTCGATATGGTCTTAATTCACAGGTATTCTTAGCAAATATGGATGGTGGCTAATAGTAGAATCCAGGAAGCGCGTTTCATCCTATTTCTAAAAACTCTTTGTTAAATGGACTAATATAATGGCTTGAAAATCACTTGATCATTTTAAGAATCGTCTAAGCTTATCCCTATACAACATCTCCAGCCTCTATCTCTCTCTCTCTGTTTTGTAAATTTACATTCATTATTTATTTGTTTGAATATATAAATATTGGTACAAAGGGGAACCGAATACATATGCGTCACACAAGTCACTTGATTTGTGAGTGATCTAGGATAATGCCCGAGTGCCCAGACTGAAATAGGTGGTCTTCTTGGGCGGCCACACCCGGAGCCTTCGACCTAAATGTCTGATCTACAAGGTAGTGGAGCAACATACGGAGATGCAGTCACACGGTAATCGGTGATCAATAATTAGTTCACACGCCATTTGTTCCCTCAGGATCCTGGAACTCATGTATACCATTTGTTTGGAATGAGGATTTTCCAACTCCTCTAGGTGAACCCTCCGTTTCCATCAACCCGATTAAAGCACTGGACATTCGCTATTCATCCTGTCAGCTTCGTAGAGAATACCCCTATCTCGAGAAGGCAGTGAGCAGGACTTCTCTGACAGTGACCACGTGAAAGTATTTTGTAGAGAGGGAGCTGATTCTCTTCACCCTCGGCCCTTGTGCATTTGGAGGCACTGTAAAATTAATCAATCTTCCAGAACTTTTCATGGTATGTGCCACTTATTTGTAGCATTTAAACGATCTTTATTGAGAGTTGATTCATATCATTAATACATCAAGTTTTCATTAATATCTTGTAGTGACCTACTTTTATCAAGAGAACGCGATTGGTATAATGGAAACAATTATTATTATAACCAATTGTACCAGGGATTGTTTTACCGTACTTGTTTGTTTAACTGTACCAAAGCACATACATTCCTCCGTTGATTGTGACCTTGCACGAATTCGGTTACGCTCAGTAACCACACTTGTAACATGGCACGATCTCGGTATTCTTTCGATACCACGGGATCGCCAACAAATACATTTCGACTACAGCCATCAACTGCCTTCTGGTATTTGGCTTACGGTACTTACTGGCACTTAGTCTTCTTACAGTGGCGATCATAGTCAACCGCGACTCGAGGCCACACTACAATCAAACCAACGAGTGATACATAATTTTAAAGAAAAAAATGCAACATAAAATGAATCGTCTTATTATTATCATCGTCAAACTATGTCTATTGAATTGTTCGACTCTAAAACCTGTTGGATAGTAACAAGAACGACCTGCTCCGGTATATTTTACCGGTTCCTCATGTCCTCCTGTACAGTTTACAACTTTACATCACTGATTGAAATCAGTAAAAGTTCATTTACAACTAATACCATTCCTCATAGTTGTGGACGGTTTGCAACTAACAACAAAGAATCATCAATATAGAATGAATTCATTTCATTCAACAAAATATTGTCATTCTTCAGTGGCTTCAATTTATTAACCGATCAAGTTTCATACAACTGTTACAATAATAATCCAAACCAGTTTCATTCATAGTTCTATACATTATTATTTGAAAATACTAAAAACTTGTCATTGTAAAGTAATATCGAGGCTATCCAACTCCGCCTGGAGTCCCTCCGGGGGCTACTGCCGGTCCCAACCCCGGATAAAGGAGGAGGGTTGGGCATGGGGTTAGCGACCCCATCCCGTAGAAAACTAACTCGCCAAAAAAACGCTAACCAGAAAAAATTATTCAAACCTTTTAAACTCTGCCCTGGGAGTCAGAAGGTTTTCATTTAGAAGAGTTATGACGCCTCGTGATGAAAGCCGAGCTCCTTCGGAAGTCACGAGGCCGACGCCCCTTCTGACAACCAGAGCAAACATTTATTTAGGTACATGGAATGTTCGTACAATGTGGGAGACCAGGAGAGTCTTCCAAATTGCTGTAGAAATGAGGAGATGCGATCGAGGTTATCCATTCAGGATAAACATTTCCTAATTCAGATCAACTAGTCTCAGTGTTCTATGTCACAAGACAAGCCATCACATGGATCCTCAAGGCTAAAGGAAAAGAGGAAGACCAGAGAACACATTACGCCGGGAAACGGAGATAGACATGAGAAAAATGAACAAGAATTGGATGGAACTAGAAAAGAAGGCCCAGAACAGAGTGGGTTGGAGAATGCTAGTCGACGGCCTATGCTCCATTATGAGTAACAGGCGTAAGTAAGTAAGTTTCAGTGTTGATTATTAGGGACAGATGGAAATTGAAAACAATTACTAACATCATCATGCTCGTTGAATAATTTAGTGTGATTGTGGACTTGGAGGCTCCTAGAATAATGTGTAAGGATTTGATATGACATGCATAATGTTGTAGTAACCATGTGAATATCCACTCGAATATCTAGATGCCGTCCGCTGATAAGTTCAAAACTGATGGGAATCAAACCTTCGGATTTTATTGCTATCCTACAAGCTAAGTATGATCAAATAAGTCCGTTGTTTCTAAGAGATAAACAAAGTTTAAAACACCTTGTAAACATTAATTGATCAATTTTCACCAAAATAGAATTTAATTGAGTTACTCGATGTCTGGAGGAGGGAATATATTATTCATCTGACCAAAGTCATTACCTGCAATCACAGTCTAAAACTGTTCATTTTATATCATAGTTTGAATGAATATACACTTAAGTTATTCATCATACATCAAAGCTTCCTACATCCACTTAGTCTTCTTAAACTGTATATCTAGTTGAACAAGCATCAGAATGTATATGTCATGACTGAATCAAAGTCACATAACCTAACATGTGAATCTCAATTCGTCACTATTAAACATATCTAACTGTTGAGTCTTCATTCTAATCAAATAAGACCATTAGTGTTCGTATTATGTGTCTTTCATAGATTTCCATGATCAATCAAACTACTATTCAAAGTAAAATCTCATCATGTATACAGCATAGATATTGCTGTTTACTTTTCTTTCTAAAATGGAACACTGTCAAACATGGATGATAAGTGTGAACAAATAATACATCACAATGGCAGTCATTATCACCAGAAGGAGACAAAGTATGTGTGACAATATAGAGAAATCCAAATAATCTCTTCCTTTTCTCTAATCTCATATTCACCTTTGCGTTATCGAACTATCATCATCATCTTGGTTGAGATCACGAATTAATTGATGTTAGACCACCGTTGGAAACCTGGAAGCACTGGACGGCCGTTTCGTCCTAGTATGGGACTCCTCAGCAGTGCGCATCCACGATCTACCTCAGTACAATGGAAGGTGGTCGCGCAATTTCGTGGATTGGTTGATGTTAGACACTAACACCATTGGATGCCGGCTCAGTGGTCTAATGGTTAAGTGCTCCGGCGCGAAGCCAGTAGGTCCCGGGTTCGAATCCCGCGTGGTCTAACATCAATTAACTCATGATCTCAACCAAAAAACTTAACAACCTCCACGACCCCCATACTGATTATCATCATCATCACCTTACTACTGATATCTATCAATATAAGTAGTATTCGCCACACTATTACTACTACTGCTGTGGTAAACGAGGACAATCGATCATATTTGTCACAAAATTACAGAGTTACTTGATAAAATAGAAAAAACCATACTCCAATACTTAATTTGCAAAATGTTCATTAATTGATGGATAGTGGCTAGCAGTGGAATCCAGGACGCGCGTTTCGTTCTATTCAGGACTCGTCAGTACCATTCGCTTCAAACGTCATCGCATTATCCACTCAGCTACTGAGTCCTGATAGCCACTTACTTGTACAATTGGGTGAATTTGGCAGACTGATCAATTGCAGTCTTAAATGTCAATGGAAAGATACATGCCAAACAATACCAAGTGTTCATTAGCTATTTCACGTTCATACAGTAGTTCTGTCTTAATGTAACTCTTCTAAGATTACTACCAATTCCAAATCCTCCATAAAGAATGAGGATTGAGCTTATGGGGTCAACATCTCCATCTCATAGATAACAATCTTATTAAAAATACAAAACACTAACCAATATTTATTCATAAACCAAATACATATGATCTATATATCTGTATATATCAAAGATCTTTTATTTCATATGAACAAATATTACTGAAGATCACTGTACAATATATTCAAATGAGTTTGACCATCATCATCATTGTCATCCGAATCATCCGAATCATCATCATCATCATGGTTTTACATAGAATATCCATCAATGAGATAGGGATTTATGAATTCGTCTATTAGTATTATTATCATTACTTAGTACTTTTAATTCCATGAAACTTTTTCGTTGTCTTTCTTTTAAATGTATCAACCAATGTTTCATATCCTTTAATGGTTGATAATCTCTATGATGATGATGATCATTTAATGCATTAGTTGTTGTTTCTATTTGTTTTACATCTTTATATTCAATTTTATGTTTATCATTCTTTTTAAATGTTAATAAATTTAAATCATGATTGTTACTATGACAACAATGATTCATGAATAATGGATCATGATTATTAATGGTGAATTGTTTATTGATTTTATCGATTGGATATTGATTTTTTATGTGAATAAAAGATAATTTTGGTAAATTATTCTTTTTTAAATCATAATCCATATACATTGGATTGTTTGTAGTATCATATCGAGTTATATTTGATTCAATGTATTTACATTGTATATAATATGGTTTATCTAATTGATAAAGTCTTGAATGTTTCTGTAATGAATGTCTTTCTGAATATCTACGTGGCATTCTATTCATAGGGATAGTATTAGTATTAGTAGTATTAGTAGTAGTATCAGTATTAGTAGTATTGGTAGTAGTAGTAGTACAATCATTTGGTAATATAGATGTACTAAAATGACGTAATGTTCTACTATCATTTTTAGATGAGATATTCCCATTGGTATTAATAGATAATCCATAAGTGGATTGTAATCGATCATTTGCTTCTGACCATGATAAACCATATAAATCTTCATGAAATAATGTAATACTATGCATGATATAATATTTAAGTTTTTTTGAAAGATTTAATGCCTTATGAAATAAGAATTGAGAGAAATTAGATTTTCTAAAAGAGTTTGTATAGATTGATTTCGAAGTAGATTCATCCTCTGAATATGAAATTCTATGATGACTATCATGGTTATGATCATCATCATCATCAGCAGCAGCAGCAGTATCATCATCATCATCATCATCAGCAGCAGCAGCAGCAGCAGTATCATCATCATCATCTGTTAGATCATGTATTGAATAATCTTTTCCTATTTCATTGAAATGATGACATAATTTCCCATTTCGTTGATTAACTCTTGAAGATATTCTTGATTCATTCATTATATTAGATTCTATTGAATAGTTTATGATCTATAATAGATTAACATTGATACATTGGTGTTTTAACTTCATTAGAATGTAACAAACAAAAGTAACTGAGACATATGCAAATGATCATAGACTTTGTTTATGGGAAAATCATTCTTCTTTGTGATTGGTCAGTTTTCGACAACAACAACAACGAAAAAAAAGGAGGCATATTGAATAAACAACTAGCCAAGAAGAAATATGATTGGTCAATTTTCAAAAGCTTCATATTTATGTTCAATATGTCAATAGTTAATATTCAACATATGGTATTCTTTTAATAAATGGATTACATAACAATGAAATCGTATCCCAATGTTTAATGTATTATCGTTTGTCATCTGTTTGTTAAACTTCATCTCAATGAGAATGTTGTTAAATGATTACACTTATCAATATGAGGTTATAGAGATTATTAAGTTATTGATTGAGGTTATGAACCGATTGATATATGTTAGATTACCCACCATTGAAAAGCTAGAAACACAGGATGACCGTTTCGTTCAATTGTGGAGCTACTCCTCTACGATCCCGCACTGTTGAAGAGTCACATACTGGGACGAAACAGTCAGGTTTTCAGTGGTGGTCCAACATCAATCAGTTCATGATCTCAATCAAATATTATACTTCTTTTGATCATTTATGCTTTAATTATTCATAGAAATCTTTGAATGTTATCCACTTTGAATTTTTGAGTCATTAGAATTGAAATCAACAAAAAGGATTGTATCCCATTAAGTTGAACTTTGTGAAATAGGCTTTCCTTTTTTTTAAAGAATAATAGTTATTCACATGTGAACATTAGTTACTATTTAAATGGGAGGTTTGTGAAAATTAATTGAAATAGACGAGCATTACTGTTCTCTTATAACTTTTGACCTTCTGGCTCTATCAATATATGACGTAATGATACCGCCAATTAGAGAACAGTGAGTTATCGATCGGACCAATGATGCATAATATCTTCATCACATCCTTCTTTTTCATCGATGAGGTACGTGAAGCTTTCCTACTCTGCCAAAGTTTCTCTAACAATTGTGATTCAGTTGGTGTTCTTGTTATAACTTGTGCCCTATGCCCTATTAACGTATAACGTAATGATACCGCCAATTAGGAAACAGTGAATTATCGATCAGACCAATGACGCGTAAACCCATATGAGCAGTCTAGAGTACTTATCGGTCCTGCTTCCTGCCTAGCCCAGCCACTTAAGTCCAGAACACCAGTTCGAGCTTCTGTGATATGAATCATTATAATTCAAAAATACACGGTTTATACACCAATCAAACAGACCGCATCGTACCATAAAATAGAAAACAACATTTATACAAGATTTGGTCAAATGTGGCTGTGAATGAGGGAGGTAGTAATTAATTCAAGAATGGTAAACATTGATTAGCTGTTCCGTGATATTATGCGATCTCATATCTATCCCTTTCCAGGGATGTTACTACCAGTTTCATAGCATTTATTATCTAGAATACAACTGTTTACTTACGCCTATCACTCCTCGTGGAGGAGTATAGGCCGCCCACCAGCACTCTCCATTCAACTCTATCCTGGATAATCCTTTCTAGTTCTTTACAGTTGTTATTCATCCTTTTCATGTCTGCTTCTATTTCCCTACGTAATGTGCTATCTAACCTTCCTCTTTTCCATTTCCTTTCAGGATTCCAAGTTAGGATTTGCCTCTTGATGCAGTTTGATAATTTGCGTAACGTATTTCCTATCCATTTCCATCGTTTTTCCCTAATTTCTTCTTCAACTGGAAGCTTGTTTGTTCTTTTCCATAGATGGATGTCGATGATGGTATCCGACCAATGGATATTGAGTATCTTGCGTAGCCAACTTGACACTAACCAGAAAAACAACTGTTTACTCAATATTAATAAGTAGTATAAAACAATACACAAAAGAGTTGAGGGAAGTGAACGAGGACAGTGAATATAAAACAGGCTTAATAATAATATAAAAAAGACTCAATGAAAATAGAACCCCATTTATTGTTTAATTCACCAAAATGATCACTAGTGGCGACACTCTAATTTATGGATGAGCCAATCAGAGGCATTTTAGAGATTTCAAGGTTATGTGGTCGAGGCTGAGAGTATTTGAGACTTTATCATGGATCCAGAGGTCGACTATTCTGTAGCCGTATGGATGATTTTCTCTACTGCATGCAATACGATTTTAGAATCTCTGAACCTCTTTTTAACCTTGACAAGTTTTTGAACCACGTATAAGAAGTGTATCCACTTTAATTCTTTGGTTTTGTATAACATATCTTTACTCCATACTGACTGCTTTCTGATTAGCTGATATCTCTCAAGGTTACCTGGGATTTGTTCAAAAGTCGTCCATAAATTAGAGTCTCTTTGAATTATGGTTATCACAAAAGACTAAACAAACACTTTGTAAGTCATGAAATTGAGATTGATTAGTTGTAAATAACTCAGTCCTACAGAAGTTCGTTCTCAATTGAAATAGCTTAGTGATAATGTCTTTTACTGTAACACCAAGTGATGCAAATTCAGATTCTGTAAAAAGCATCATGTATACTTTGCTGATAAGTAGTAACTATTACGAAACCCAGACATAACTGAGTATCTTACTGTATGAGTATCTAAATACACATGAGTTGTTCAAAAGAAAATGGCATGCATTTATACTCTGTCATTTCCTATATCTAAAAGTCTAATAGTAGGGGCTGGTACTATGTCAAGCCTCAAATCTCTAGACTGACTAACCTATTCATTCTTCTCAAGCTACATTCTTACCTTGTCACTTATTCGTTTATTAATCCTGACTGTTTTTATTTGATCATATCTGCGCTAACTTCTTACCCTATTCATTATGTATCTGTAACTTGTTTTTGTTCGACTATAAGTACTGAATCAAGCCTGGTTAAATCGAGCTAGGTCACACGCGCCATTCGATCTGTTTCACTTAGCACTCTCCTATTCTCTTTCTTCGCTTCGTTTCTTTGATCGTCTGTCCGGATCAACGACTGTACAAAAAATACTTATTCAAACTTTATTTTCATATTTGACTCATATTTAACTCCGTCGATGATTATATACGACGGTAGTCGGAATGTATATTTCGATAACAATCATTCATACAATCCGATTGAAGTCAGACATAGGCTCACCAAAACATATACAGTGTACTTGATCCAATTATGTTACATAAGATTTGATTCCTCGGAGAGACAACAATTTATGGACGAACCAATCAAGTATAAACTCCACCTGGAGCCCCTCTGGGGTTACTACCGGTCTCAAGCCCGGATAAAGGAGGAGGGTTAAGCGATCCCATCCCGTAGAAAACTAACTCGCTAAAAGAACGCTAACCAGAAAAAATTCAGGTATAAGATAACAGGTCATGGATTTTAGCGCGAAATTCACTTATCCATTTGGTTAAATAACATTTCGGTATTAGAGCTGATGTTAGTTCGTGATGAAAATCTTAAATCTAATTCTCGACCTTAACAATCAAATGTAAATCTTAATTCGAACTCCTCATACTGGTTTATGACCTTCATTTGGTTCTAGTGATTAGGCTAATACTCTCAAGATCAGTGTAGAGTTACTCAAAGGTCTTTCATACATTATAGTTTCACCGATTTCTCTTCTACTTTCATTCTGTTTATTCAAATAAATTTTTATACTGAATGAATAATTATAATTTTTCTTGAGAGTTTCATTACTGTCATCTAAATAGTGTGTTTAGTTTTAATGAATAAACATAATTGTAGTGAATGAGAACACAACTGGAGACAATCAAATGTATTCTAATGTAACATTATGGAATATCTTAGTAAAATCTGAGAAATATACAGTTTGGAAAATGTCAATCATTCATCTCATACTTCATTGTTCCTTCGTTTCCACAACGATAATTTTTTGTTCTCATTCTCTTTCCTTTGGAAATGTTAGATATCACTGGTAAGGTAACAGATTTTCATCATGATTCTGACAATGAAATATCATATCATATTAGTTCTATACACCCAATAAATTACAACTTTCATTTAGTAAATCCCTTTAAAAATTGAGTAATTCCAGTACTTCCAAGTGGGATCTCAAGTAATTATAGGTAGCTAACTTTTTTTATTTATTAACCGCTTTGTAGTATAATTTATAACCATCGAATTTCACCAAAAGATAGTTTCAAGATCGATCATACATTGAATTGCACATTACATTACTTGGTTTTAAATTTCGTTATAATTATTAGACTATTATTAAAATATTAAGTAGTATAAAATTATGTCAAGAATTTCAGTATGAAATTCAGTTATTCTTGATCACTTGGTAGATCAACATACTAGGACGAAACGATTGTTCAGTGCTTTCAGCTTTTCAATGGTGGTTTAGTTTAGGTCGACTCTTGAAGTCAACTAGTAAAATAAAGGATTGTTGTATCGTAGCTTGTTGTGACAAAGATAATAGTAGTAGTATAAACAATCATTAATTATAGTATCATGAAAAATAAGAGAAGTTAATATATGATTAAGGATGATAAAAACGTTTGGTATGATGAGATAAACAAGAACTCATAATATAAGACTGTGTTGTTCAAACTCCACTAATTGATAGCGCTTTCACTTGATTCATTAACAGTTCACATTTCATTTTCTCTTATCATAATTATCAAAAAAAGATTATAAGCCTAAATTCATTTGGTGTTGTTCTACTTGTATCTTTCCATTGTTATTTAGGACTGCAATTGATTAGTCTCCTATTGGCATATGTAATTCCCGTGTCAGTTGCATCGATATTGCCTTTAGTCACAAGATTTTAACGCAAAGATGATAGCAAAGATGCAGGTACATCTAGCTGATGAATGATAAATAGGAAACAACGCGCTTCCTGGATTCCAAAACTAGCCAATATACAAAGTTGTTTAAAAAGATCATAAGCCCATTAGCTTAATTTTCTTTGATCTTAAATGACCTATTTTGGCATATA